CCATAAAGCTGCCAACAATTTCTAAATTATGACCCTTGACACCTGCTATATGATTTATTTCTCTGCCTCAGTTTCTCTGAAAAAAAGCAAATGATGCTTATTCAAGATCATGAGAACATTTCAGAAGATAAAATAGCCTATTTTTTTTAGCACAAAACAATCTTTTGACATAATCATATTTCTAAACTAATAAATGCTCTTAAATTGAAAAATGACTTAGATGGATTCATTTCTAAGAGCGGGGGTGTTTGGGGCTTTTGGGGGCATATATTCAAATTCCCGTACCACCAAGAACATGCAATGATATTTCAAAAGACTAAGGTCTAGTATTTATAAAAAGCCATAAGTGTGAGAGAAAACTTCGCATTTTCTTTATGCTCTGTAGGTCCAAATTCTTGTAAAATTACATTTTTTCTGTGATCTTTTCATATACATTTTTTTTTCTTTTACTAATTCCTTCACACAATATGGGTGACATGCTAATTAAAAAAAAGACAACACACAGGATAACCCAGCCTCGAAAAGACAGCACCAGATGGCTACGCTGAGTGACAGTAACACGGCCAAGCCAAGGCCAAACCCTCGCTGAGGTTCTCCATAAGCTGGGCAGGAATTGCAAAGGAAAATGACCAAATGAGGACAGTATATGAATCAAAAGAATCATTCAAGAGAATATTTTCTTTCATTTAATGTGGTATCTCATCAAGTTTTATCAAATTCAAAACTTGTCTTGTTTAATTTTGTTAGCATGCATAAGAAAAACACACAACTCTCAATTCCTATGAAGTGTGCAAGGTATCCCCTCACCCTAACCCGCACTGCAATCTGAAGTGAGAATCCTTCCTTAAAAAGGAAGCTGAAAATTAGTGACCACTGCAGTGCAAATTACTTTATTTCTAACCAATTATAAATCATTAGGGTAGTCGCTTTATTACCAGAACTTGACATAGATGCTTAAGATAGTAACAAGCATTTTTGAAAAATGTGCCTAAAAGAGAATATTCAGCTTGGAAGTGCAAGCAAATTGACCTATTTTTCTGAATTATTTAGCTTTATTTTTTTCCTGTCCTTTTCCACTATTGCTACCTACTTAATTGAATCACAACATCAAGACTTGACTCTCCTTATTTTTGCTTGCCTCAGTAGTAGAACCTGGGATAAATTCCTCTCTTCCAAGTCAAAATATATCAAATGGCCATCAGTGATCTCCAGTATGTTTCACAGGAATAACGAGAAACAGCAAAACGATAAAATCTCACCCTGATTCAATAGTCCTTACCTAGCTTTCCTTTTCCTTATAGAGGGTAGGGGACAGAAAACAAAAAAGGGGAATGGCATGAAGAATGGAAAAGACAGGACTTGCTCCTGCTCTATAAGGTGCATTGGGGGGTATCTGTTTTGACAGGACACTAGTAATGAAGAAAACATGAGCTGTTCCACTCCAGCTATCATGAATCTGGAAATGAAGTATGATATAAACACAATGACCATCCCTCGAAGAGTTCAATGCCACGATCAGAGAAGCCAACTTTTACAAGAGTTTCTTCCTTTTTAGCAACTATTTTATCTCCTCTTTTTCTCCTCCTTCCTTCCACAGCCCGTCCAAGTTCCTACCTTTGTTCCAACCGGACAGACTGCGGCTCATTCCATAAACACAGGGCATGGTTATGAAAGCTACTGCAAAGCACAAAGCTGCCCTCTAACATATTCTAACCCACTGGCTTTTATAGACAAGCATGAGATGGATGATACAGCTTTCCCCTTTCAAATCTATAAGCTCTTTGTAAAAGAGCAATGAATTAATCCATTCAGCAGACTAGAGAAGGAAGTCAGCATTGCTATTAAAATTGAGGGGGAAACTGAGGCACAGATTGTACAAAGACTTATTAAAACTAGTTTTTGCTCTCTTACATCCCCCTAATCTTTAAAACATAAGATGCTTCCTTCCTCATTAGTCTTAGAGCCCCTTTGGGAAGGGCTATCTGTTCTTCAGATTGTGCTGACACTACAAACTACAGGAAAGGAGTCAACATGATGACAAAATATGGGAACCAAAAGGAAGTGCTTCATGAAGGTGGGGGAATTACTGCAAGAGCTTTGAGAAAGCCATGAAGAAACACAGCAAGAACCAAGGAAACAATGGAGAGGGCAAGTGAGCAAGCAGCGCTCCGCGGAGCGACGAAGAACTTGCATGAACGGGAAGGGTTCGAGGAGGGATCGAAACTGCTCCGAAATCACAGGCTGATGCGACGAAGGAGCTCCACAGACACAACTCCAGATCCTGGCCTGTCAATCCCACAGGGCTCCTAGGAGTCAGTTTTGAAAAACTACTCCCCTCTCGTGATGTGTCTTGTAACTAAGCCCTGCACGGAGGAGCGCTCACCAACCCCTCTGCACAAAAAACTGTTCTGTCCTCTTAGATCTAAGCTCCACAAAAAGCTTCGTTTTGCTTAGTGAGAGCTGTGAAACGCCCGTAAGAACCTGCAGGGTGGGGAAGCCTTTCCAGGCTGCAGACAAACCCGGGGGGGCAGACAGAGCACCCCGAGGCTCTGCCCTGCCGCGGATCCCCACCGCGGTTCCGCACAAGCGGCCGCCGGGAGCCGGCGCGGGAGCCGCCGCGCGGAGCCCGCGAGCGCCTGGAGCACGAGGCGGAGCAGCTGCTTCCAAAGAGGAGCCTTGTTTCCTCGGAGCAGCGCTCAAAGGTGCTGACCACGGAGGTGTAAATACATCTGTCTGTTGCCATTTGCAGCAATCCACGCCTCCTACCTCCTCCGAGAGAGGCAGATGGTCCCTGTCCTGGGTAAACGTTCCGGCGCGCAGCCTTGCATCGCTATGTGTTTCTCGAAATAGGAGGGCAGATGTTAAATATGTTAAACACACGCTTTGCCCCCTGGAGCTTTCAGGCAAGGCTGCCGTCTCAATGTGGTCATTCTGGGCATGCCAGGCTTCCCGGATCCCAGGCATTCCTCCCAAATCCCTGCTTTAGAAATGCAGCTTTTCATGTTAATTTTGTGTACTTTCATCAAATATTTTGGATGCAGAACAAGGGAAGGGAGCTCTCAGCTTCGCATTACACATTCACGCAGGCTTTGCTGACAATTATGATCCTCATTCATGAAAACTCCATTTACGCAGTGGGTATTTCCCAGACCTGTGGGGTTTTTTTGTTGTTGTTTTTTTTCTTTTTGCTGTTGTTGTTGTGGGTTTTTTTTTGTTGTTGTTCTATACAAGCTCTATATAAGCTTCACCAAATATTCTGACTCTAAGCAATTTAAGAATTATACAAAATAACTGGACAAAAACAGTTCATGCAGGGTAAAGTTTACTTAAGGAAAACTACGAACCATGTGAATACCTTGCAAATATTTAAGATTAGAATATTATATATGAAACACAATTTATTACATTTAAAAGTTGTAAAAAAAAAAATGGTGGTATCACTATGGTATTTCCACTAAAGAAATGGTCTTCCTAAGGGCAGCAATGTTAATTACCATTGTGATTAACTGCATCAGTGGGTGACTTTTTTCATTTATTTATTTTATAACCCATCTTGCTCACTGCTTCCCCATCACGCTGCCTTCCTCCTTCCCGCAGACCCTCAAATATCTTTTTGTCTCCACCTATGTCTCTTGCTCTCTAATGCTAATCATCCATTCCAATTTCGGCAAGCTGCCAGCTCAATTCTGTCATGTTTCTGTCTTTGGCCGACTGTGACATTTTTACCCTCCATGACTTCCTTCCTTCCTTTTCTTTTTTGTATATATATATTCCCCCTTGCAGGAACTGTATCTTTCTGCTCATTTCCATGCACATCAACCTTTTTCTGTTCTTTGCTGCCTTCCCGTCCTCACCCCAGATCACACCTGCTCTACCCCTTCTGACTACCAACACAACCCATTTTTCTTGCCTGTGATTAATTGTAAGCAGGAAAAAATTCTCAACGTAAGCACTTGAAATGTGTGCATGCAAAAAGCAAACCACAGCACAACCCTTGTCCTGTTTCTTTACTGTTCCCTAAGTCCTATTTACAATATCTCTGGAGTTTGGGAAGAAGGTCTCCATGCTTAAGGCAATTACATGCTCTTAGTTCAGAATTTGGTTCTGCAAGCCTAGGGAAATTTGTTTACAGCAGCGAGAGCAGGGCTGGAGTGTTAGATAAACACATATATAGGCATACATATACATACATACATATATGTGAGCTTTAGAACGTCACTGTGCATACTTACATTGCTAAACAAGCAATAAAAAATACATTTTACAGTGTTCTAAACACTTAATTGAAGAATATAGGGTAATTCTGAAGAGAGGGAATAACCCTGAGTTCCTTCCTGAAAAATAACTCCTGGGTCAGAAAACAGAGTAAAATCCACCTCACTGTTGGCATTTAATCAAGAAACCAGCGAAGCAAGACACTGCCTACTCCACTTGCTAAAATACAAACTTGTAGCAATCTCAACTGTTTTGTCCAAACACAAGTCAAACTTGATCTATTTTCTTTTATGAATACAAAAACATCAATCTATAACATACTGAATGAATCAGTGTTTAAAGCTTCAAAAAGAAAATGTTCAGCGTTTTAAAGTCTACCAAAAAGGAAGAGAAGAAAAAGACCAATTACCAGCTTTATGTACAAAATAGAAAAAAATGTAGATTTGAGATTAGCAAGACAAAAAAAAAAAACTGTTGGAAATGGCATCAATCATTTTTAAAACTTTGCAGCTTATAAAACTCTCAAAATCTTCTGAGAAATTACGAAGTACAGAGCAGTCACTTAAATGGACAAATAATGTCAAGAAAATATTGGAATCAAGTTTCCTCTTTATGTTCATTCTGGCTCTCTCTCTGTGATT